AGAAATGACCCAAGCGGTAAAGGGTGTCCTTTGGCCACCCTGCGATTCAGAGCCCGGGGAGGGAGCGGGGCCTCCTGGGCTCTCTCCACAGGCGTTGGGCCGGAGGGTGCATCACTGATGGACACAGGGCTCTGAGCCCGCGGGATGCCTGGCCCGGCAGAGACCAGGCGTCACCTGCCAGCACAGGTGGCAAGCTCAGGATCCCAGCAGGAAATGGAGCCGTGTCAACGCGCCTTCCCGGCTTCCCGGGCATGCCCTTCCGCAGAGCCCACTGACCTCCGCCCGTGTCCCTCCCTTGCTGGCTGCTCCCAGGGCGGTGGTTCTGCCCGGGGCCTGGCCAGGCCTCCACTCCTGAACCACCCCAGGGCCTGGAACTTGCCCCTCCAGCCTGGGCCTCCAGAGTCACAGAGTGACAGCTGCAGGCTCACTCCCGCTTCCTAGGTCAGAGACCGCTGGTCTCAGCCACCCAGTTACTGCAGGAAGAGGAGAGCGGAGGTGAGGGAGAAGAGGGATGAGAGGGGATGGCCACTGGGCCAGGGGCAGGGACAGGAGGAGTAGCCTCTAATGTCCTCCATCACCTTGGGTAGCAACGGTGACAACAGGTAATTGATTTTTCAAAATAGCTAGTGGAGAGGAATTTGTCCCCAACACAAAGCCCAGGTAAACGCCGAGCAGACGACGCAGGTTACGCCCAGCTGTCCCTGTGCCGGGACCAGGTGTGAAGTGCCACATGGACCCCATAATATCAATTTCAAAATGTTAAAAATTGAAATTTAAAGAGAAAAGAAATCCCCAAAGTTTTTAAAAAAATGGCTCGTAAATCACTTTATTTTATTATTTATTTATTTATTTATTTTTAAAGATTTTTTTTTTTAATATTTATTTTTTAGTTCTCGGCGGACACAACATCTTTGTTGGTATGTGGTGCTGAGGATCGAACCCGGGCCGCACGCACGCCAGGCGAGCGCGCTACGGCTTGAGCCACATCCCCAGCCCTCGTAAATCACTTTAACCCCTGATGCTCATGTGGTCAGTGCGGGCTGAGCAGGGACATGCTGGGCAGAAGCCAGCGCTGGCCTCTGTCACTAAGGCCCTGGAGGTCAGGATGAGCAGGCTGGGGACAGGGGACACACAGGCAGCTGTAGGCAGCCTGGAGAGGCCCCTGGGTGGGTTGGAGCTTGTGGGAGAGTGGAGCTGTCGAATCTCAGCTGAGCCCTGGAGGTGGAGCTGGGCCGAGGCCGAGGGACTGGCAGGGGAGGGGGGTCCTGGAGACCCTGGGCACCGGGGCCAGCAGTCCCACGTCTCTTCAGTGCTGTCAGCCCGTGGTTCTCAGTTGGGAGTGACTGCCTCAGTGACCCTGGGCCACTTCTGGGGACACGTGTGGTATTATGATGGGGAGTGTCCTGGCTTGGAGTGGGGGAGGCCAGGGCTGCAGCTCTGCACCCAGTGTCCAGAACGCCCCCAGGGAGCCATCCAGCCCCACTGTCCACAGCACGGAGGCAGAGAAGCCATGATCTAGATCCATTTGTCCTACGGTAAACGCTGTGAGCAGCCCAGGAGGCGAGAGCTGAGAGGTGCCAAGGTCCTGGGGCAGGTTGGCAAAGACAGGATGTCCAGGGAGCACAGTGGCCAGCTGGGAGCCCACCCCAGCTCCCCAGGCTCTGCTGTCCCTGGTTCCCCTCCTCCAGTGACATCCACATTGTGGGCCTCCTGCCATTGGGCCGACAGTGACCAGATCTCTTCCAGCTGACAGGAAAGGGGCCTCAGCCTCACCACCCCACGTCCTCCCGGTGCTCAGCTCCTGGTTCCACCGACAGCCCCTGACTGGCTGAGGTTGCCAACCAGGCCAGGGGGCAGACTCCAGGCAGAGCTGCTGGCTGGACGCTCTTGGGGGTCGGACCACGGGATGGGGCTCCTTCCCCATCCCCCACTTTTTGGGGGTGAAGGAAAGAGGAGGCTGAGCAGAAAATGCCCGGCAGCTCAGGAGGGCCTGGGGGGGGTCTTTGGCTTCTTTTAAAGACCCTCCCAGCTTTGCACACCCAGGCCCACGGGCTCCGGGCATCCTGCTGGGGTCTCCATGGAGACGAGCCTGTCTCTGGCAGTCCCCRGGCCTGGGGGCTGGCCCTGCTCTCCCAGCCTGAGCGCGGCCGGCAGATCYGAGGCGGGGGCTGCCTTGGGAAGAACCCACCTCTCACCCCAGCTGTGCCCCCCCAGCCGACATCCCGCCCCGCCTGGCGGCCAGGCTGCTGTGGCCACCATGCTGGTGTGTTTGCGCAGCTCGGAGATGTCCTAGGTGGGCCCAGCCCTGGCCGCAGGGAGTCCACAGGGGCGCCTCTCTGCTCTTCAGTCCCACAGGAGAAAGGAGGCGCAGCTCCGGAGGGTGGGATCCAGGGGGTTTCCGGGGGCTGCCTGGGCTCGACCCTCAGCGCTCCTGCCGGGTCACCTCAGACAAGTGACCCGCCTGTCTGCCTCTCAGGATGGCAGTTAGGATGGGCAGGGTGTGGACACGAGCTGTGGGCCTCCCTCACCACAGAATCCCATGCTCCGGGGCTCAGGAGGCTGAAGGCTGTCCAGCTCAGCTCAGCAAGGACGCAGCAGCTCGGCGGACCTTGCCTCAAAATAAGAAAAAGGGCCGGGGACGAGGGTCCGCGCCCCTGAGTTCAATCCCCGTACCCCGCCCCCAAAAGAGGGGAGGACAGATAGCGAACAATTCAGTGTGATTTAAAAAAAAAATTGGAATTAATGCTTCCCCCCAAATCTGTGCTGAACAAAATGTCACGGTTTTAAATAAAGACAGAACTGGTGTGGCTTCTGGCACTGCCGCAGTCTATTAGAAATTTAAATTTAAAATAAAAACAAGGAACATGAATGAAGAAACACTTAAACATTAAAATAAAAACGAACCCGCGATCAGTCCCAGGGTGGTGCTGAGTCAAGAGGACACCGGCCACACTGACCTGTCTCCGTCCCGAGTGGGGCCTTGCTCGCTGCGGGGGTTCCTGTGACCACSTGTGGTGCTTTGTCCTGGTCCGGGGATGGCCCTGGGCTGCGCCTCCCCGAGCCACACCCCAGCCCTTTCTGTTTGGCTTTGAGACAGAAGCTGGCTAAGGTGCCAGGGCCGTGGCCGTGCCCTCCTCCCGCCTCAGCCCCCGGAGTGGCTGGGACGACAGGTGCGGCCTCTGCGCCTCACTCTCTTTAAAACTATTGCATTCCATTTCTTATTCAAGATTTCTTTTTACAATTCTGTGATTTTTAGTATGTTCACCAGGTTGTACCACCCTCGMCACCACCTAATTCCAGAACCTTCTATCACTCCAAAAAGAGGCCCTGCCCCCTGAGCAGCCCCCGTCCCTCCCAGTTCTGCACCTGTGACCCACATCCTCTCTGGACTCCCCTGACCTGGCCTCTCCCCCGACTCCTGTCCTGGAGTCACACGCTGTGACCTGTGTGTCCGGCTCTCACTGATCACCAGGTCCTGAGGGCCATCTATGCTGCAGCTGTCACCTCGCCCCTGTTGGTGGCTGAGGGCCGCTCCAGGTGGATGGACTAGAAATAAAATGTAGTCTACCCATGCCATGGGACATTATTTATCTTGATGGCTGAGTTCTGGGTCTGAAATAAGACACCCCCCACCCACCTTTCCATAGTCCTGAAGCTGATGCCACATTAAGAGCTCATGTCAGCTACAGGAGCTTCCTGCCCCAGGGCCCTTGCATCGCCTCTCCACTCGTGCCCTGAGTTCCCCAGCACCTTCCCTGACTTCCTCCTGCAGCCATTTCTCTGCTCACCCACCCCAGCGCCCCTCGTCCTAGGTGGCAGGTCCTACAAGTCTGCTTCTCTCTTTGTATTCACCTCCAGGGTTTGCCATGTGGATCAAATGACCTAGTACACAGCAAGCACTTAGCACAGAGCCTGGCGCATGCCAGGAGCTAGGTGGTTTGTCAACATCAAGCTGATATCTGTCTCATTAGAGCAAAATACAATTCAAAGTGAGTATAAATGCTACAGAGGAGAAAGGGAGGCCATGAAAAGAGGTAATGGTGGCGGAAGGGGAGTGGGAGACCAAAGGRGGGAATCCTGCACCCTGTGGAGGAAGGTGTCCCCAGCAGAGGGCACAGAGGGCAAAAGCCCTGGGCAGGACCCAGCCTGGCATGCTGGGGGCTCTGAAGACCCCAGGTGGCCGTGTCAGAGGGAGGAGGGAGGACGAGAGGGACCCTGTGGGCTGCAGAGAAGACTTGGGCTTTAGTCTGGGGACATCTTGGAGAGTTTTAAGCAGAGGAGACAGGATGCCCTTCGAGTAGTTGTCCTAAATGTGTCAATATATTTCCCAATATATGTTCCCTGTGTACGACGGCTGCGGGGATGTCCAAAACGTGTCACTCTGGTGGCAGCTGCTATAAATACAATTATTGCTATTTTTGTTGAACAAGTCAGAAACCTGGGAGCGCTGAGCGCCTGCCTGGCCACAGCCGAGTGGACGGCGTCCTCGTCCTCGTTGCCGGTCTCCCGTCGTTGGCTCCGAAGGGGCGCAGGCCCAGGGCGCCGGAGCAGCCGGGGGTGGCGGGGTGGCTCCGGCCGGGCTCCCTGTGGCTGCGGGGCCGGGCCCTGCTCCTGGCTGTCGCCCAGGACCCCTGGGGAGGGCGCCCCTCGCCAGGACTCGGCAGGCGAGCGCGCACCGCCGCCGCCTGCGCCCGGTTCTGGTGGAGGCCGCGCCGTGAGCGCTCCCCTGGCCCCGGGAAAGCGGCCAGCCTCTCGCCCCCGCGCCCGCAGGCCTCTGGCCCCCGCCGCCCCAGCCCCCGGGGCCTGTTCCCCACGTGCCACCGGCCTCGGCTCCCCGCTCCCGGCCTCGGTCTCCCCGCCGGCGCGGCGCGGGCTGCAGTGCGCGCGATGGCCGCGCGGGGCCGCTGCGGCGCCGCCTTTGTGGTCCAGCGGCGGCGGGCGGGGCGGCGGCGGGCGGAGCGCGTCCCCAGCCGAGTCGCCGCCGCCGGCCCGCGCCCGCCATGGCCCGCCTGACCGAGAGCGAGGCGCGCCGGCAGCAGCAGCAGCTCCTGCAGCCGCGGCCCTCGCCCGTGGGCGGCAGCGGGCCCGAGCCCCCCGGGGCGCAGCCCGACGGCATGAAGGACCTGGACGCCATCAAGCTGTTCGTGGGCCAGATCCCGCGCAACCTGGACGAGAAGGACCTCAAGCCGCTCTTCGAGCAGTTCGGCCGCATCTACGAGCTCACGGTGCTCAAGGACCCCTACACGGGCATGCACAAAGGTGGGCGCGCCCCCGCCCGCGCCCCGCTCCGCCCCACCTCGGCCCGGCGCCCAGCCCCTGCCGCCCCCTCCCTCCGCCGCCTCTGCCTGGCGTCCGCTCCCCTCCGCCCACCGCCTCCCCGGGGGCCGCTGACAGAGCGGAGCTGCCCCCTCCCCTCCGCCCCCTCCCCGCCTCCCACCTTCCTGCCGCTCCGCTGCCTCTGCCTCCCCTCCTGTCCCCGGCAGCCTCTCCTCGCCCCGTCCTGCCCGGCTCCCGGGACCCCCAGCGTCCCCTCCCTCCCTCCCTCGCCCGCTCCGGAGCCGCCCGGACGCCCACCCTCCGCCCCGCGCTCATTCCGGGCCCAGGCCCCGTCGGGGAAGTTCGCACCTCGGACTCGGTCGCTTGGGTGGTTTTCACAAAGCCCGGCGGCGGGCAGGTCGGCCGCCGTGGGGACGCGGATGCCCAGGACCCCGGGCTGAGCCCGATCGGTAACTACAAAGAGGGCGGGCGGGGGCCGGGGAGCGCCGCCTCCCCCGGGCTGCAAACGCCCACGTCCTCCGCCGCCCGCCGCCTCCGTGGCCGGCGCCCCCTCCGCCGTGTCCCGGCCCTCCCCCTCCCTGCGTCCACCTTTGGCTCAAGTTAAACCTGGCCGGGCCTGTGGGGTCCCAGGCCCAGACAATGAACCCCAACTGTTGGACTGGGCAGAGCCCCCATCCTGGGGTGGACAGGAGGAGGGAGGCGTGGGCGGCCTGCAGGCAGGTGGGGGGGGGGAGGTGGCCTGCGCCCTCCCTTGCTTCTCTGTCTCCTGGCATGGGGGGGGGCGGGGTGCCCAGCAGTCCCGGCCCCAGTCCTTGGCTCCGATTGTGGGTCCAGTGTCCTCATGTGGGTGTTTGACAAGCTTTGTGTCACATGCCGCGGACCCAGTGGGGACTGCCAAAGCTAGATGCTGGACACATCTGGGTCCCCATCCTCCAGCAGGACCCTGGGGGGCCATAGAGATGGCCGAGGGCCGTGACCTATTTCAGACCCAGTGCCCGTCTGCCCCAGCTGCTCCAACCCSGAGCAGGAATGCGTGGTCCGGAGGGGCATTGAGGGACAGGTTCAGGCCACAGGCGGGATGGACCGCAGCCAGATGCCCACCTGGTATTGGGGGGAGGGAAGAACCCCTTCAACCCATCTCTTCAGAACCAGCTACCCCCCCAAACGGGGAACTGAGAAAGCTCATGCCTTGGTGTGGCCCAGGAGGGCAGAGGGTGCACGGGGGGCATCATCAGGCTCCGGGTCCCTGGCTGACTGGACCCCCACCTGGCCATTTCTAGGAGGATCCTGTTGGGAGGGGGCCATCCACGTGGCCCCCAAACCTTGCCTTGAAGGGCTGCTGGGGGTCTGGGCAGGGAGACAGGTGGGGGCTGGGGGCTCCCGTGGCCCCTCCCTCTTTTTCTAATTTTTGAATCGCCTGGAAGCTGGCGCCCAGCAGAGGCGCGTCCAGGGGGGCCATGAATGGGCAGTTATTTTTTTCTGGCTGGAGAATGTTGGGGTGCCGGCACCCAGGGCTCTTTGGACTCAYGGGCTTTCTGGGAAGGTGGAAATTGAGCCCATGATGTCCCTGACAGGTGGCCGTCACCTTCCACGTCTTAGGAGTCCTGAGTCAGCGACCTGGACACAAGGCTGGGAGAGACAGGGAGGGGCTTTACGGGACAGGGGGTCCCCTCCTGTGAGGGCCTGGCTGCTGGGTGGGAGAGAGTTGGAGAGCAAGAATGTGGGGTGCTGGGAGCCATAATCTGCAATCTGGTCCTGCCTTGGGGTTCAGCTGTGTGACTTCTGGCCCGTAGCTGGCCCTCTCTGGGGCCCTGCCAAAGCGGGCTGGAATGATGAATGAGAAGCCAGGGTGCTGGGGAGGAGAAGTCTGGGCACCTCCTGCCAAAYGCTCATCTTATTTGGCTTCATTTCTGGGGAGCCAACAGGCTGCAGCACCCTGTCACTGTGGGCAGGCTCCGAGCAGCGGCAGTGGGGTGGACCCAGGCTGGAGGGACCCCTTCCAATGCAGCCAGTCTTCCCGGGGGCGGGGTCCCTGGCTGCTGGGGGCCCTGTGAGGCTGCACTGGGGCAGCTGTGGCGGTCACAGAGGATGCACCCCTCCTGTGTCACACCTCAGCTGTGTCCAGGGGTCACTGGGCGTCTCACTGGGCACCACTGTCCAGTTTTTGGTCTCCCCTCTCGGGCCCTTTAGTCCCCGCTGAAGGCTGGTCACGCACTGAGAGGGGCTCCCTGAGCACACACGGGGTAGCCAAGGGCAGGCCAGCCAGAGCTGGGCCCTGTCCCCCTGTCCCCCCGTCCGCCTGCCCCCTCCCAGGCCAGGGGAGCACAGGGGAACAGGTCATCCCCAAGCCAAGGGGTGGCCCTAGGATGGCCAGGAGAGGGCAGGAGGCCAGGGCCTGGCCCCAGATCAGGGACTCACGGCCCACCAGGCCAGGCACTGGGGCTCGGGGGCTGCGATGGGTTCTGACGGGTCCGCGGCCCTGCACCCGCCAGGGAAGGCGCCCGATATAGCGWCGCGCTGAGCCCCCATTTAAGGTACCGCTCTGCATTTGCATGTTAATGACAATATTTGTCTTAAAGCGGAGGTGGCGCGGGCCACGCGGGYGGCGCGCTGTTGCCATGGGAGCACCAGCTGCCGGGGAGGGGGCTGGAGCCGCCGCTGGGGCGAGATCCCGCGTGACGGAGGCGCGGGGCAGGGGCGCGGGCAGGGGAGCCGGTGCCTGGCGCCCCTCGGTAGCTGGGTTGGGTCGGCGGGGCCTGTGGCGGCCGCCAGGGTCGGGACTTTGTGGAAGGGACCCTCCTTGGAGGTGGCTTCCAGCCAGGCCCACCCAGTGCCYGCGAACCCTCGTGTCTGTGACGGTGACATCTCCCCACACCCCGCTTGAGGCAGAAAACATCTCCTGAGCCCGTGCTGTGCCCCTCACTGAGGTGGAGCTGGCCTGGGCTGAACGTCACAGCCTCCGYCAGGGAACCCACAGCTGACCTCTGCCTCGGGCCGCCGCCCTCCAGACTCGGGGACCCAGGGATGGGTAGAAACAGAGAGCTGTCCTGCCATGTCCCAGGCTGCTGGCAGTGAGGCCCCAGGCCCTGCTCCTGAGGGGTGAGGCCAGGCGGCTTCCTGGGGGAGCTGCAGTCTGGCTGCTTTGCCTCTTATTGGCTGTGTGTTCCTTGGAGGTGTCTTGGTGTCTCTGAGCCGCGCTGGGCCTCCCAGCTCAGGGAAGCCACGGGGCTGAGGACTGGTTTCCCTTCAGCTCCGGGCACATGGTCGGCGCTTGGCCGGGGGGCACTGGACTTGCTTGGTGAGGCCGAGACCCGAGGGCGAGGAGGAGGGTGGAAGGGAGAGCTGCCCTCGCAGAGGGGACAGTGGCGGGGAGCCTCGAGGAGACCCCTGGACGTCTGGGGGGACGCCGCGTTGGCCCTGTAGGAAGGGAGCCCACCCTTGGGAGCCCTCCTCCGTGGGGGAGCCCCGTGGGGCCCGTCCACCCTCCCCTCAGTCGTCCCCTCAGCGGGCACCTCCCCAGAGCTCCTGGGGCCTTGCCGTGGACAGCCTGGACCTGAGGTCAGAGCCCCACAGGACGCCTCCAGCCACCGTGGTCAGGGTGGGCTTGGAGAGGGGCCTGGGGTGGAGGACCTGGGTAAGGAGGCAGCCCTGCCTGGGGACCTGGCTGCGTCACACTGGGGCTTTGCGGGATGGTGGGGTTTTCGGGGTGGAGAAAGCACAGACGGACACTGTGTTCTGTCAGGGCCCTGCTGAGCCAGTGAGGTGGACGTCTCTGGCCTGCGTGTGTGCAGAGGGCCGCGGGCTTGCCAAGGCCTGCACCTCCGAAGGGGTGCGACTGAGTGGAGGGGGAATCAGGCCTGGGGCTGGAGACTCAGCTCGCTGCACTCTGAAGCTGGACTGAGCCTGCAGTCTTCCCGGAGGGCACTGGGGAGCCATGGAAGAGTTTAGAGCAGGGGAGAACTCAGACCTGCGTGTCCAGATCACTGCCATTGCCACTGCCCCCTCCCAGCCCCCTCCCAGCCCCCCAGCCTCCCAGCCTTGTTCCAGATCTGCTTAAATCCCGGACCCTGGATGCACAAAAATGGGGCTCCTGTTGGGGTGGGCCAGGGTGGGGCAGGTGCTGGGTGGCAGGGGTTCCCACGGAACCAGCTGCCCGGCCCCACCAGCAGCAGGTGAGGAGGGGCTCAGCAGCCCAGCTGGCCGCCTCCCGCGGAGCCCGCACTGTGGGGGCTGAAGGGAGAGGGAGGTGGGGTCAGAGCCCTCGGGGAAGCTGGCCGTCCTTGACTTCAGGTCACTGGGGCCCGAGGGAGGGGCAGCGAGGTTGGGAAGGCCCTGACCAGCGGCAGTCCAGCTGGTCTGGGGCCACCGTCCTGAGGTGGACAGGCGGGGGGCGGCAACGGGCCAGCGGGCGGCAGACAGACGGGGCACAGACAGAAGCCAACAGGCAGCGGCGGTGAGTGGTGGAGGGAAGCCCTGGGTGGGTGGACGGGCATGATGGAGGGTGTAGGGGTGGACAGAAAGATGGTAGGAAGGCAGATAGGTGGAGCTGGGGGCAGGGGCYGCGCTGGGGGCCAGGTGGCTCGGGAGGCTGAGGCAGGAGGATGGCGAGTTCACAGCCAGCCTCGGCAATGTAGTGAGGCCCTGAGCACCTCAGCAAGACCCTGGCTCTAAAAACATGCAAAAAGGGGCTCGGGGTGTGGCTCAGTGGTCRAGGGCCCCTGGGTTCAGTCCCCGGCACAGAAAGAAAGAAAGAAATATGGACAGGTGGAGAAATGGGTGGACAGATGGACAGGTGGAGGAATGGACGGATGGATGGACGGGTGGACGGATGGATGGACAGGTGGATGGATGGATGATGGATGGATGGATGGATGGACAGGTGCATGGATGGATGGA